AAAGATGCACTTGGGGCAGGAAGCTAATGTGCCAAACACATCTCCAGAAAACCTTGGCCAAGGCTGCTAAGTCAATCATCAAGTAAGAAAACAGAAGGGAAAACATATTTCTAGAATTGGCAATGACAGTGGTGAGGCCTTAATGTGAGGTGGGAATTGAAGAATTTATTGACTATCTTCAGAAGATACAATTATTAATTTTTCTGAGAATAGTTTCATGCTATGAATTAAAATCAATTGTGCATAACTAAAATACTATAAACTATTCTAGAGAACAAAAGCACAGGTAACTAGTAGAGCTAAGAGTGAAATTTTGAGGGAAAAATTGAAACATTGATGTTATTTCAAATTCAATAATGGTACAACAAAATGGCTTAAAATTTGTTTTCTACAAGTTAATAAATGAGATTTAAGTACTTAAGAGTCTTCTTCCCACTCTGAAGAGTGTAGTATGATGAGTAAGTCTTCTGTTGTGTATTTAGATTACTATATGTTGTTCATATTTCCTACATAAATCTTAAAGAAATAAAAGAGAATCTAATAGGATGGTAAGCTTCACATTAAAAACAAAATCCAAACAACAAACAAAACCAAAGAATGGTAGCCACTTCAGTAAATCTACTCTCACCTGCAAGTCATCATAGTAGGTCAAGAGAAACTACTCTCGAGAGCCACAGATCTGATAGCAAGGAGAGATTTTAAATTGTGTAAAATGATGCTATGCCACATGAAAGGTTAGGCTGTCTCTTGTTCTCTTATTAATAGAAAGATGACAGTAGAGAACAAAAGGAAAGAAGACAAAGAAAAATGTTGACTTTCATTTTTGTATAAAAACAAATCTAAGAATCTGCTACATAAATAAAACAGTAAGACCGTGGACTATGTGTTTAAATTTAGGCTTTGAAAATATAAGGTGTAGTAATTAATGATGAAAGTTATAAAGTTGTGATGGAATACACTGATGGATAATGGATTAGACTTCTGGATATTTTAGACAGGAAAAGCAGCAGAAAGGGATCCATGTTTATATCTAAATAGAATGAGATGTCATTGCCTAAATTAATAATGCAAACTTGAAAAATAGCCCCAGGTTCAAAAGACCAATTATAAAATTCTTTTGTAAACAAATCTACACTTCTATTTTTCATGAATAATTGTAACTAGTAGTATTAGCGTACTAATGTTCAATTTATAAAATGAGAAATATACTTTCAAATACAATTTAAATATCATTTCCATTTCTAATGACTGTTAGCTTCCTTGCAGATGATAATACTGGCAAGGAAGAACACAGGAAAGGAACAACATTCATCTACCTACATGAAGCCAACAGAATGTATATAGGACAAGTATTTAATATTTGAGTAATAAGACATTGTGAAGGCAACAGATAAATATAAAAATCTTTCAGAGAAACATATAAGCACCCTGCTGTGATTGATATGGTCATCACACACACTGACATGCACAAGAAAGGAGGTATTTATGGTGTGTCATATTCTTTCTGGGTTTTCTCATTACGAAAATAAAAAAGCCGTGGAAACTTCTATAGTTCTTTAGTATGCAAACCTGCTCTTTCTTAACCTAGAGAATTATGTATACAATATAAATTTCTTTAAAGTATCTTTTAATATTTAGTATCAGTAAATGTTCTATATATGCACATCTAAAGCTCACTGGTATTTTCTTGGGGGAAAATAGTTACAAGCGGAAAAGCTTAAGAAACCTTGTTCTTGTTGGTCTTGATCATCTTGGGACTCCTTTCCATATACTTAAGAAAAATGCTAACTATTTCTCTAGTTCTAACTCTTGTGATGTGTATGTGTGTGCATGTGCTTGTGTATACATGAGCATGATTTGCATGTGGTGTGGTAGGTAAGTGTAAAATATATTTGATAGTAAAAGAACAAACCCGATGTGAAGCTGCACACATGCTGCAAATGGACACTCAAAGTATATAGAACTTTACTGAGTTGTATCTTTGGGTCTGGTCAAATTTGATACATTTTTTTCCTTGTAATTTTTTATAATAAAGTTTAAAATATATTAAATAATGTTTAAGAATTCTATAGTCATCCTACCAAATTCCATGAAGTAGGAGAAAACTGGGACTATACTAAATATGTAAGTTATTTGGAAGATAATTAACATTATTAATGAACTAGCTCTTCTCATTCATGAAAATGGTGTTATGTATCTTGATTCACTTGTATATTTGTTTCTTAAAAATGTTTTTCATGAGCTGAGAATGAAGCTGGGTGGTGGAGTGTTTAGTTAACATGTCCAAAGCCCTTGGCTTGATGCTTAGTAATGTAAGAAAAATGTTTTAGGACATTTACAGCAAATGTCTTACAATTTTTATAAGCAATGTCTAGATATTTGAGATGCTGTCTTCTATTGTAAATGGTAGCATATTTTCAAAAGATTATATATTAATGTGTGTATTTATGTATCTGAGTATATTTGTGTGCATGTGTGTGTGTGCATGTATGGTTGTGCATATGTCTGAGTATATGTGTGTTCTTGTGTATATATATCTGTGCACAGAAACAAGATGACTGACATGCACATGGGCCTCTGAGCATGAGAGCAAGTGCTAGTAACAAGAACGAGGGCATCTGTGACCTTCAGGCTGCGTGCTTACTACATGGTCCATCTGACATTTGCCCTGCTGTACTGCAGCTTGGTTTTTCCTTCCCAATTGTACCCACAGAGCAGCTTGAAATACTTTTTATTTGTATTTCTTAGAGGTTCAACCTTTTGACCAATGTTCCCAGTCTGTTGTTTCTCTAGCAAACATACACTGAGTAGTGGCTGTGCTCCAGACACAAGCAGAAGTCTTACGAGAACATGACAAGCCATGAAGTAGGCTGGCACAAGTAGAGTCCCCAGGATCTACAGCAGAGTAATACTGTCCTGAAGAAAGGGAGGTTGTAAGTGAAAAGAGTTTAAGAAATAGGATGGGATCACATCAGTGTGTGCATGAGCTAATGTACACAAGGACCCTGTAAGGCAGCTTCAGGAATAATTAATATCTCATGAAGGAAGATGGAGTTGCTCTAAGAAGTGAAGGGTTTTCAACTATAACCACACTGTGTGCTGAGCCTGGGTGCTTCCCAGGGCTGTGAGCAGGCTTACAGCAAAGACATACTCTGGGTGATTGGCTGAGCCAGAAGTGGCCACAGACAGTTTCCCTCACATAAAGCTCCTTTGCTGTGTCCTGCTTTCACTTAAGCTATAGTGAGTAAACATCACATACTGAACTATGTTTGTAACTCATGATTAACACTTCTCTCAGTTTACATGGAGCTTTGCAGATCCCCTAATTTGAAACACCTCTACTACTGTAAAAACTGTGAGAACCATGGTTCCTGGGGATGGTTACTGATCTAGAAAGGAGTTACAAAGTGTTTAAAATGAGAATGAAAAGTTATCTCAAAGAAACAAATCCCTCCCCCAAAATAAAAACAGACTTTATGCACAGGGTATAATCAATAGCTTATAACCCCCAGAAGCAGGTGTATGAAGAAACACTGTCCTCACTTTCTAACTGTACCTCTCTCACAGGAAACACAACTATGGGAGAAGCTCTGCAATAAAGTAACAAGGCTTGAAAATGCTTTTCCCAGACCCTATATTCATCAGATTAGAGATTCCTCTAATTGGATCACCATTTCCCCAAATTTCTAAGAAATACCATTCTAGTGTTATGTGTAGGCACAGCTCATAAAATGTTGGGTGAATAAATAATTAATGAATGAAATATATCTGTAATATCTCTGTAGTATTCAATGACCTTTCACATAGAAATTAATGTAATAACATGGATAATAATCGAGATTGTGGCAATATATTTGCCAAGTGCACAGGTTACCTCCACAGGCATACAAAAATCTGTGTTTTGAAGACAGTTCTACGTTCAATATTCATATTCTAATACTCAATACAGGGCTTGGTGTTTCTCTATCACTGTATGTGTGTGGTGTGGAAGTCAGAGTGGACAGCTTCAGTCCACAGGTACGAAGTCCACTGTATCACACAATGTGGAAGAGTTCCAGCTCACGCTTGTTCTAGGGCAGCTTGACCTGGCAGGATGCTCCATTCTGCATCCTACCATCACTGTGACTCTCAGCATAGCCCTTGCTAGTGCCTCTTGGTTACCAGACCAAGAGAGTGGGATGAACAACCACAACTTCTAAAATGCTTTCAGCTCTGAGCTCCTCACAAGCAGCAGCCTCTTCATCTTGGAAGGTGCAGCATGCTAACTGACATGAAGACATCTCTTCCCAGCTAGGACTGAAGACGGGGTCTGGGCTCAGCAACAACCTTTCCTACACTCCCTCAGGCTCTTTTGTTTGTCTCTCCAATCACTGTTATAACTGTTTCTGAAAACTCAGTCACTGATGGTGCAATTCCACTGCAGAAGGCAGAAAACACTTCTTACACCCCCTTCACTGTTACACAAATGGTTTTGCTCACATTTATCAAATAGTGTACTGCTGCAAGGAATCCTTACTGTGAACAGAGCAGTACTGGGAAAAAATAGTTAGAAAACCTACACATTGAGTCTATAAAAATGGAAGCCGATTTTAACTACATACTGCAAGTCTACGACTTTATCATGGGGAAGCATGTGTCATCAGTGTGTTCACACACAGGGTACTTAACACCCCATGTTAAGTAAGGGCTGTGTTATATGGCATTGGTAGAGCAGACCAATTATAACACAAGGTCTACAAGACAATGAAGGAGGTATTCCTGTGGAAGTAAGTGGATTAAGTATATTAAGTAAGTGTATTAAGGAACTCTCTCACCTACCTTCTCAATTTACAGGGAGAGTAACTGTTCTGAAAAACATATGCATTGATATAAAAACATCACTGAAATCAGGAATACCTTGTCTAGTGTATACCACCCATTAAATTATACTAAAGCGGATTGGAAAAGCTGTAGTTCTGCCAGATTCCAATCAACTCTGGTGACACATCTGACCTTATTACCTGTAGTCACACCAAGGGCACCTGTATGGCTTCTCTCCAGTGTGCACACGCTTATGACGAGTCAAGTGTGACTGGGTTGTGGAGGCGAAGTTACACTCATCACATTTGAAAGGCTTTTCCCCTGTAACAAGAGGTACATATACATGAATGATAATAACTGGACGTGAAGCATCCAAGCCTAGTATTAACATATAAAATGTTTATATACATAAAACATTACAAACATTATTTGATTGGATCCATACCTACAGGATATTTGAAAGCTGGAGGAGATCACTGATTTTTCTAAATTAGCTATTAGAAAGGTATACACTGTATTATCCAAACACGATTCCAGGTTTTAAGTGTAGGTCAAGATTGCAAAATAATTTTATAAATCACGTTATATGAGAGGCATTAAAAAAAGTCAGTGAAATAAAAAACACAGTCAATCACACAACACACATACAGTTAAATACAAAATGTGAAATAATAAATTCCTAACATTAATCATGAAGAAAAATAAAACAAGGTCATTACTTTAATAAATATTAGAAATAAAAGAAATTAAATATAATAGAAATAAAAGAAATATAATAGAAATAAAAGAAATAAAAGAGTAACAGGGTAGAAGGTATGGAGCCTCGAAAGGACAATTGATGCAGTGCTAATCCATGTTAGGATGTGGCAGTCCTGTGTAGACAGGTCCAGTGTGAGCACATGATGCAGTGCTAATCCATGTCAGGATGTGGCAGTCCTGTGTAGACAGGGCCAGTGTGAGCACATGATGCAGTGCTAATCCATGTTAGTATGTGGCAGTCCTGTGTAGACAGGGACAGTGTGAGCACATGATGAAGTGCTACCCTATATTAAGGATGTGGCTGTCCTCTATAGACGGGCTGGCCTGTGACCAAGCATAGAGCTCACCTACTGCTGTGCCCCTTACTGTTCTTCCATTCACACAGATACTTTCCCATCTCACTAGCTACATTGTTTGTAAGCACTGACCCAAGGTTCCTTAATTTCAATGAATACAAATTCAAATTGGAATCCTAGTACAACTCTGCTATTGAAAACTGTTTTACCACGGCTACATTAGACTAGAAATGTAAGTCTATTTTTTTTTGAGTAAAATGTTTATTAAAACATAATATACATTATATACTTTGGATGCAACTTTGCTCTTGAATTAAGATGCTAAAAGCATAAAATGCATGGCTAAAATCACAATATCAGTATAAAAAGTAAAATGCTGCAAATAATATCATGAGTTTATAAGTGATAGTCTTAATATTGCTTGTGAAATTAATAATTATAAACATCATTTTACCTGTGTCTTTTCTGCATTTTGTGGGCAGCCAGAAAACAAGTATATGTTACATTATATTTCTCTGCACTGACAATGATGAAGCAGGGAAGCCCTCAGTCCTGTATTCCTCACACAGCTAATGTTCTTAACAAATTCTTGACTGGGCAATTTCCCATCTACAACACTATATTTCAACAACCCCACTTGTTACTTCTTATTTTCTAGCTTTTCATGATAGTATTCTACATACATTGATCTACTTTTAAAAATGAAGAAAAACATGTTTATTCTTGTGTGGTTAAGTATGTGTTATGTGTGCGAGTGCTTGGACCTCAGGACAAGTGTGGGCCAAGGGGTCAACTTCACAGTGTCAACTCTCTGGGCACCACATGGGCTCCTGAGGGAAAGCTAAGGTGAGACCTAATGACAAGCACCTGCACTCACTGAACCACTCCACCAGTCTCAACAATGACAAGAGAAAGTATGATTAAAGGATTAAAGATACTTTCTGAAGTATGTTTGCCCCAAATTGTCCCAGGTCAATGTGGCTATTAGTAAAGATATCTTTTCTTCGTACCTAAGTCTACTTACCTAGTCACACACATTGCTGTATGAATATTTAACTTATTTATACCCACACATCTTGCTTGATGGTATGTATCTTCCATGAAGCAGAGAGAGGAGGCTGGAGAAAGCCAGGTGGACTGCAATCCTGGTTTGCCATACCTCACTTGCTAACTATCAGACCTCTTGAGAAAGACCAGGAGGATAATACCACCAACATGCAGGGTAACTGTGAGGATTACAATGACAGACAGCATAGAAAGAGTGACCAGGGTCTCTTCTCAGGACTGTGACAGCATGGCTTAAGCCCAGCAACCACACTGCCTCATGCCTCATAGAGATCAAAGCAGCAGCACACAAAAGCTCTCAAAGAGCTTGGTGACTAGGCACATCCATAGTACACAGAACTCACTGACAGCTTTACTCATTAATGTGTACAACAGAAAGTTACTCTGCTCTAGATCTTATCTAGAAATTACTGTATTCAATTCTCTAGGGTTTAAAACAATCAAAGACCATCTACAAAGCAGAATAAAAGAATGGTGAGTTTAACACCCAAGGGATGGCATCACCTAAAGACTAAAGTCACTCTTTTCTCTCCATTTCTAAAAATTTGCTGAATCAACTGAAGTCACAATAGATAGTTTGATTTTAGTGACTGACACACACACACACACACACACACCATACAAACACATACATGCATATATGTACAGATGTGCATTCTGAGTGTATAAGATACAGGTATTTTTTTTGATTCAATGATACTGCTAGGATGTAAATTAATAACATGCTAATATAATTAGTGGTTCTCAACCTGTGGGTCCTGAACTCTTTGTGGGTTAAACGACTCACAGGTGTCACATATCAGATATTCTGTATACCAGATATTTACATTATGATTCATAACAGTAGCAAAATTACAGTTATGAAATAGCAATAAAATAATTTTATAGTTGGAGGTCACTACAACATGAGGAGCTGTATTAAAGGGCTGCACTATGAAGGTTGAGAACCACTGCTCTAATAGAAAGACATCTGAGTTGTTTCCTATTTGTTTTTTTGGTTTTAGTTGTTGTTGTTTAGGTTTGTTTGTTTAGTGGTGGGGGGTCCGTACGAGAACAGGTGAATTTGTTATAAACAATCAACAATAGGTAAGCCATTACATGGAAAAATATTTCCCTTTTGTCCTGAATAAGTTCCCAGAAGTGGTGCGGTGGTAGATATTTATTCTGGTGTGGGTAGGAAACCCTTCCTGAATCATCCCCCTCACATCTTTACCAGCTGCTACTAGAGCTCCCACCACCATCCGATGCAGGCAGGGCTCTGACCCTGCATCTCCCAATGCACATCTTCCACGTGCTTGCTGCTCTCACTTCATACTCCATGATGGAGTATCTACTTACCATCTGACTTTTTACTTGCCTGCCTCCTCAGCAGAGCTTTGAGAGCTCTGCTATGTTGCAGACACGAGTCCTTGATGAGATCTGCAGTCTCTGCATCTCGCCTAGGATTAACTTACTTCTCAGTACCGCTAGCAATTATTTAGTATAAAGTTTTAAACTTATTAACTTGTAATTTTGTGTATTTGTTCTTTTAGAAAAATGCTTTTAATATAATATGAAATGATTTTTGATGATCCAAACTCAATTTTTTTCTAGTTTATACACAATTTACATTGTATAATTCTGAGTTTATTTTGTATACAGCATAAAGAAAACATTAAAACTCGTTTTACTGAATATAGATGTTGAATCAATCCAATATTACACGCTGAATGGTGTAAACTATCTTTATCTCCTTAAAAAAAAAAAAAAATCAACTGCAGGGCAGTGGTGGCGCAACCCTTTAATCCAAGCACTTGGGAGGCAGAGACAGGCAGATTTCTGAGTTCGAGGCCAGCCTGGTCTACAGAGTGAGTTCCAGGACAGCAGAAAAACCCTGTCTCAAAAAAACCAAAAAACAAAAACAAAAGCAACTGATGGCAGAGGTAGACATCTCGACTTTGTGCAGACAAGTGTATCCACCTTGACATAACTGATTGATCTGACCTGAGCAGGTCTAGTCTGAGGCTAGGAACTCTGCTCATTCTCAACCCTGTCTGATTATTTCAGACTTCTGCATTTTTCCGGGAATTTTGAGTTTGTTTTATTGATTTACAAAAGGAGTCTGCAGACTCAATGTGAGAACCTAAGTCTCCACAGTACCAGGTCTGCTGACCAGTGCCAACGGCATTTCGCTGCTAGGTCTCACTGACCAGCAACGCTTCTAGTCTTCCTATGGGAGACTCTGGGCATCTTCTCTAGACTTCTTTTGGAGAATAATGCTGTGTTTAAAAATAACTGACATGTAGCCAAATCAGAATAGTCTACATTTCTTCTGTTGATTTTCATCAATGCACAAATATGACAACCAAATACGAACAATATCAATGTCAAAGGCATAACAGGCTTTCCCTTTGCATGTGATTAACTAAGTTACTCTGGACACTGTGGGAATGTACAGACATGTGTCCGTCACCTCCTTACCGACTTGCTGTACCTGCAGATGGCTTCTGCACGTATTCCCTTCCCTGTAGGGCCTTTGGTAAACATCTTTAAGCTACCTTCTTGTCATGGATGTGGCAGGATCCTGGAAGTACTAAGAAAACTACTGTCTGGGTCATTGTAAAAATTCAAGATCTAAGGTCTTCAAAGTTAATTTTCTTGGTTTGGAAGCTTAACATGTGGTTAATGTAGATTCTTTCATTTAAGCTTTCATGATGCTTCTTGTGATGCTTTAAAGTTAACATCTATACATTAATAAAATGTCATTTAAAAATTTTATTTTAATAATTTAATTATAAGTTTACATTAAGCTAGCATTCTATTGTGGTAAACTGGAGATTGTCATTTATATTTGCCTCAACTGTATCATATATTAATTCGTGTAATATTAAGATGTTTTGAATTATATAAAAGGTGTCAGGCACAAAATCTTACATAAAATGTTATACATAGAAACATCAAGAAGAGGAGACAGCCAAGACACATGTGTGATATTGATATCACATGTCAACTTATATAGACCACACTTTATTCAAATATGTACCATGATAGTTAATTTTGAATTCATATATTTTGTTAATCTGTTACACATGTTCAGCACTGTTATCCTCAATATGTAATTGTCCTGGGAATACTTTTAGTCCTGCCCATCGTGTTAAAGCTTGCTTTTACAACATCAACATGTTGGCAGCCAAAGTACATGGCTTAAACCTGAAAATGAACCCCCAGACAGAATTATTAAATTAACAGGCTGGCAAGTCAAGGACAGGTAAGATTCTGCACAGAGCCTTACCATCTTAAGACAGAAGTGCACTGCTTTTCATAATGCATATTGCAAGACGAGTAAGGAAGGCATTCTTGTCAGAACGATCTAAGACTGGCTCAGTCTTGTTTATGAAATAAAAAAGGGGGAGAGGCAGAGAGCCTTTGGGGCTGCTCCGCAGGAATCTGACAAGGGCCAAGGACAAGGAAAAGGGCTGCTTGGCAGAAATATGACATTGGCCAAGGACAAGGAAGTAGGCTTCAGCCAGGAATCTGACATTAGGATAGAACAAAAAAGTAATTTCAGGCAGGAATCTAAATTTTAGGCTAGAAAAAGGAAGTAGGTTTCAGCCATGAAAATGACTTTGGGCTAGGACAGGGAAATTGGCTCAGATATTTTGGTCATCCTGATAAGTATGGAGCGACAGTGATCATGGGCGTGTTCATGGAACTTTGTTTATTGCCTTGCTTGTTTTTTGACTATTTGTGTTTATTGTCTTACTTGTTCCTTGCTATTTGCATCTATTGTATTGCTAGTTCCTCAATCTAGAACTGACCTGAATACTTGCATGTAATTCAAATGGTAGAAAAGCAAAAAGGAAGAGTGGGGATGGGATAGGAGGTTCTAGGGAGGGGAAATGGGGAAAGGGGATGACATCTATAATGTAAATAAATAAAGTATCCAAAAAAAAACCAGAATGAGTAATTTCCTCAGCAAAAAGACAATACAGGAAACCATACTTTTTGATTATTAGGGTTACTACATAACAAAAGTTAATGCAAACACCCAAATGGAAAAAACTGAAAGGAAATCTTCAAAGTTTGAAACAGGAATTTCAATTAATTAAATATCTGATAATTGTTTAAAATTAAAAAGTACTCTACAATGAGATATGTATACTTGCTATGGAAAAGTTTTTTCCCAACTTTTAAAAACTAAAAGATACTGACATTATTTTTCTCCCTCTCTGTCCTACCATCCTTTCCCATGTCCCCACTACTCCTCTCCTACACATGTGCATGGTCTCTCTTTAATTATTGTTTTGCCAATGTGTACACACACACACACACACACACACACACACACACAGACACAAGAGCGAGGGAGGGGGGGGGGGAGGGAGGGGGGGAGGGAGGGGGGGAAGAAGGAGGAGGAGGAGGAGGAGGAGGAGGAGGAGGAGGAGGAGGAGGAGGAGGAGGAGGAGACACTACAACCTGATGACTCCATTTCTTGATGCTTTTATGTATATGATTTCAAGGTTGACAACTTAGTACTGAATACTCAATTAGGATCTCATTCCTGAGTAAGTCCAATTCTTCCTTCTCTCAACAGTTCTTAGCCCATGGAGGGTTCTTTGTGAGACTTCCCCTTTTACAGAAGAGATTTGGTTAGAATACAGATGGGAATACCACTTCTGACCTGCCTATCATTCTAAAACCAGAATTTACCTCAAGTTAATATAGTAAATCTTTGATGCCATTGTGTATAGATCAACAGGGACTTGGACACACACCATTTAAAAGCCCCAGACAACACTGCTGTGGCCCCTGAAGTCCTAGCTAGTTGGGTGGTAGAGTCAAAATGCACTGGAACCCATAAACCCAAGACTCATCTAAGCAACAGAACTGAAGACCAAGAGGAGGACAGAACAAGAAGCTCTGTTGTAACCATAGTTACCAGTTTTCCCTTGTTTAAACTATTAGCTGTTGTTTCTCATTCCATAAATACTGTTCTTTATGATCATTAATCTTGCACAAAATACCCAGTAAGAAACACTTCACTTCTTAGGCCTTACAGACAGAAAAGGAAGAAAAACAGACACTACGACAGCTTGTTTCCATAGGGCCCTGTCTTTTTGCATGTCAACCATCTGTCAGACTGGCCAACCACATCTCCTGGAAATCACACTTCACATTCCTTAGGGTGGACTGGTGGTTATTAAGCTGGCCAGGTCTCTCCAAACACATGTGAGGATTGGTGGCTGTGCCCTTGAATCAAGGGTCTCTGACAGGTGATAAAAGTAAATCTCAGAATGGAAGATGTTTCATGTCAGACCTCCAGACAGCCTACACTTCGGTCGGGAATTATTTACGCCATGTGGAACACTTTGGATACCTATCCTTTTCTGAGCTGCTTGTAATTTGCCTGGACACTGTGGTAAAAGGGTAAACCATGTCAAAGACAGACACATCAAAAAATATAGATTTCAAATGTACCATCAAGTACAGCCTCAGGAGCGTGGGGGTAGGCATGCGTTGCTTAAACATTTTAAGTCCAACATAAAAGCTAAGTGCCTAGACTCAGTTGGACTGAGCTGTTTGTTGAGGCCAAGTCTTTTAAGAACGGACTTTGGTATTAAAGAATCATGTTTGATTTGTGCCACAGAGGCAGATAAATGCCAGAAAGACAGATACCCCTGTCTGTGAGACATTGTCCTATACGGTATAAAGTTAATAGCAAAGTAATAAGGAGCCTCTGGACCTGACATAAAATATAAAGTTGTGCCGGCTCGATGCAGGCTTCCTGATCGATCCATCACCTGGACCGTCTGGATCGCAGTGTTACTGCCTCCACTGTTGGGCAAAGAGGAACACAGCAGCTGAAGGGATGGCACAGGGGGTCGGCTGTCCCCTGGAGCAACATGGACTGGGAACAGGAAAGCAAAAGTGCCATGGAGACCATAAAACCCTGAGTTATCAATAAGCTGGAAACATGAATTAAACACCTCACAACTGCATGGTTTCTGCACATATTTTCAACTTTTCTTTCCTCATTTGCCACACAAGGGCAGCTGGACCCCTCATGGCCTACCTTCTACTGAATCCTTACACAAAAGTTATACACTGCATGTACACACAGCTTATGATTTTTTAAAGTTATACTTTGAACATTTACCTCTATCTCACTGGCTTTTATCCTTATAAAAATTTCATCTCAGTAAACTCAAGACCTAAAAGCAATGACTTAGATTAATTTTCATTGATTCAGGAAATACCACCATAAGGAGAGAGGCTCCTTACAACTGTATAACATGGCATTTCAAGAACTTCAATGTTCTACCAGTACTATACTGAAATTTTCTTCTTTACACTTACGAATTTCATATATGCAATGCATGAAGTAGGACCATATATACTCTCTACTTCTCCCTAACAAATTCCCACACATCTCCTCATCATATTCTCCTTCAACTTTATGTCTTGTTTTTATGACAACCCACTAAGTCTAGTTAGAGCTGCTCATATGTGCATGGTATGAGGCTACCCACTTCAGCATGGATGGAAGTTTTCTAGGGGCCACACCCTCACCACATGGACTGTGACTGTCCATTAGTAAAGTCTTAATGTCAGGGAAATGTGGTTCTACTGAAAAATACAAAAGAAAACTGCCCTGAGACAATGCTATCCTGGACACACATTATCTAGAATTATCAGAATAACTATCTGTGAGACCACTGTCTTTCCTGAATAATGAAGAATGAAAATCATGGGACAGGTTATCTAGCATGTCCTTACTTATCTCTCATGCAGTGCCTTTGTTATTATTCTCTCTTAGCAGCAAGAAAATTGCAGTAGTACCTACTCCCCATGGAGTCGCGTGAACTGAGCCCAATGGATAAACACACAACACAGGCAGCTAGAGAGACAAAGGTATATAGGCAAGGAAGCAATGGGAGGATGGTGTTACACAGGAGAGAAGTAAGAAGGCCCAACAGAAGCCCCCCAGGACCTAGGCAGGAGGCTAAGACAGGGCTCTGCAGACAGAAAACAGCCTCAAATATCTGGACATGAGAGCTTGCTTTTTTTAACCCACTTAGGATCAAGTTCCTGGGGATATCTGGAGCTGCATACAGGTGACTATATTTTAAGCATGTAATAATAGAGAATCTAAAGTCTATAAATGCTGTGAATGTGAGATACATGAAGCCTATAGAACACGATTTGCAAAGGCCCAGAAGAAAGAGGAAGCAAACCACAAGGCTAACTGTGCTTGGGTATTTAACCCCTTGCTTCAGCCCTGCAGAGGAAACCAGGAGCAGACTCAGGACTGACCTGTATGCTGCCGACGGTGCTTGGTGAGGGCATGCCGGGTCCCACCAGCGAAGCCACAGAGGTCACAGAGGAACGACTTCTCGCCTGTTGCAACAATAAACAGATGAGGGACTGCGGAGGTCACAGATCATTAAAACATATCTATCAAGGCTTTCAGGGTTACTAATTCCTCCAATCAAATGTTTCCATGTAAATATGTCAAATGGGAATGAAATTACCACTGCGGTTTATTGACTGTGATAAAATCTGAAAAGCACCACTGAACATAATTACATACTTGTCAGACCCATAAAAATTAGCTTTATTATCAATGGAATGGTTTTGTACAACTTCATTTCTGGTAGATGTCTTCCAGATGGGGCTCTTTTATGCACGTGAACAGCTTTATGCATATCCTGATTTTTTACAATTCCCATACATCTGGCCTTTCTGAGCTGAGTAAAGATTGCTTGGAATAGTTAATATACAGTATATATAATACTGTTTAAATAAAATATATTGAAATTTTAACAACCTAAGAACATTGAATTGGTTTTACCTGATTCTATCAGGGTCTTCTTTAATCACCTTACACTTAATAATATGAATTAAATGGCTTCTTTGAATAGACTGAGTATCTGAAGGAAATGAAACTAGCATTACTCAGGACCAGGAGCAAGTCAATGGTGTTTGTGTTTTTCAAATTTTATGGCATAAAAAAGAAGCCAGGGATTGCTAAAAAAAAAATCTATAAAAATTCATATCCCTTATCTTCAGTGATAGCTCTAGACTGGAAACTTCTTCAGAATCAAAGCCATGTTTAGCAGATGAAGGCTTGCTAAGTGTGCAAATGGATTTTTTTTTTTTAGCATTTTACATATGCTAACTTCCTGACTTACAGTTTATACATATTATATATATAATTGCACTATAGGATATTTAGCCAGCAAGTGCTTGCTGGCTGGACAGTTTATCCTGTAGGATTCACAATGAAAGGAAAAACAGAATAAAAATGCTCACCTTGGAGAAATTAAGGGGAAATAATTAGATTTTTCCAGAAATAAAATACATCATTTGTAGTCATCTCTATTGAGTTTTTAGTCACTGAGACTTTAAAGTAACAAGTTCTTATAATAGGCAAGCTTTTCCCAAGTTTGTGGTTTCACAATAAATTTAGCTGGCAATGCATTTGCAAACACTGACTATATTTCAAATTTTATAATAATGAAACAAAGATAGAAACATAACTGTGGGAATCAAAGAGCCACCATTCAAGTAAGTTATATTTCTAGTTTTCTTTTAGAAGAACACGAAGAAGCCCTGAGCCAAGATACTTCTAATCTCATTTCCAAATGAAAGCTAAAACGTCATTATCATTAAAAAGAAAGAGTTAACATATAATGCCTTTGCTACATTATATTACTACTTCAGGGGTCACACTTAAGTCCTTGATATCATTATTCATATAGAAAAAATAGAGTAGATGGGCTGCAAAGAATAAAGTTTAATTATAATCACTCATGTGATTACTTAATCAATTCAAAATACAAATCTTTATAACTATCAACTAAATATCACTGAAGTAGACTTTTTACACTAAAACCACCAATTTGTTCCTAAATATTAGCATTTTTTTAAATGCGGCAGCAAAACTGTTCTCTACAATTTACTCATTACCAGTTCTGCAGACAGTTCTGTGTGTACTGACAGAGAACAGCTGTTCTTGCACATGCACAGGGACGTAAGGGCTCCAGGATAGAAGTGTGTGTGTGCCTGTGCACATGGGCACACGCAGGTGTGGAGGGGAGCAATGGGAAATGAGGAACGCACACCCCTCCTTCCTCTTATGAAGCCTTTGTGACCTAGTTCTTCCTTGCAAAATAAACGTGTTAATAAACATAGGGGAAGATGTCAGAATTTAACAGTTTCTGCATGTGTACATGCTGCACATTTTAACATCTCTTCACTTTCTACTTTATGGTAAATAAACATGAAAAGGCAAAATTATTCATTTTCCAGGTGATTTAATTGTAGATACATTAGTGACCTTGATTTCTGATGTATAGGACTTTATATTGGGTATTAGTCTCAGATGTATTGTATGTCATATTTACCTTGGTGGCTTGATTTGTTTTCAAATTCAATTTTTACTTTTTTTTTTTTGAAAGGAGGGGGAGGTACTGTTGAACAACAAGACAAGAGTAATTTCTTTTTGAGAAAAAAATTTTAAGAAAAAAAAAAACTCAATGCAGTATTTCACTCAACCAAGAAGGTATTCTTTTAGCATGTCATATTTAAATGATAGCAGAGATTTAATGGAAGACTTCTTTTAATAACAACTTGAATTAGTTTCAAGTGTACCATTTTGCATTCAAACATAGAAAGACATGGAAACCAATCCTTTATTTTCTATTAGAAAACAGCCACTGTCCCCTCTCTCTCATTATGGTGCAGACTACAAGACCTAACAACAAAAATCCATATTATTGATCTGGCCAAGTCTCCACAATTATTCTTTAGAAGGAAACGCCGACGATAAATTACATCTGCACTGGCTTTTCATCTGCTGTTCGATATAAGTGATCTCTCAGGGCAGGCTGGAGACCTTAAATCGTCAACACCCTTGTCAAGGAAGCTAAGGAGGCCTGGGCTTCCCACAAACTGCTTCAGAAGAACTTTCAACCTACAATTTCTAACAATAATACAGGATTCACAACAATCAGAAGAACATTTCTGAATGCTGATTAAAATTTATTATATTTTCCTATAGGGAATATATTCTGGGCAGTGCATAGAGAAAGAAGGGCACAAAAATACTAAATAGTTGAGAGTCTCAGACAGGGATATAGGTGAGTACTCAAACACAAGACCACCGTGAAGTATTGGGCCCACTGTGCTGCAACCATGAAGGGCATGTGGTACACAAAGGACAAGACCACAGGGCATGAGGGCCCATGCACTGATAGAGGCTCCAGCTGAGCTGTCTCACAACTACACTCCACAGAGAGAGTCTCAAGACTGCTAAGTTAGATCACACGTGGTCATGGTTAATGTGTTCATGTAAATTTTATGTTAATGGAAGCTTTTTAAAAACAGTTATATGAAAAACATTTGGTCACTCAATTTGGATTAGTCTCTACAGTTTAAGAACTCTAGGGCGTGACATTGTTTTTACTGAGAAGAGATATACTTATATTTAGAATATGGTACATAAAACTAAGATTCAGTATGTTTAAATGTTATGCCACTTAGACTATATCTACAATGAAATGGAAGACAAGTTCTCTTTAACAACATAATACGTCCATGTGATAAGGGTCTCATCTAAGAAGCTAAGTTAGAACACAGACTCTGGAAATGAGCTGTCAAATTTGAACCTACACTGCTTAAACACGGGCACTCATACATAACCCATACTAAACTGACCAACGTTGTAAATGGAAGAATGGAAAACATTTTCATATGCCATTATCATGACCTTGATTTCAAATTAGCACAACCTCTACAAAAAAGTCATGTTAATACTGGTTGCTGTCAAGAAAACCAATGGACATGTTCCTGAAGCCCACGGGTCTCCCGTGGCCTGGTCTCTGAGTTAGGGGCATGACACACCTGTGTGTGTCCTGTAGTGGTCTTTCATCGCTGAAGCCGTGAGGAATGAGTAGTGGCATGTGGGCCAGGTGCACTTAAATGGCTTTTCTCCCGTGTGCAGTTTCATATGGTTGTTCAAGGCCCACTTCTCCGTGAAACTTCTATCACATAAGTGGCATGTAAATTTCCTGCATGAAGGAGAGAAAAAACAACATAAATTTGGGCTGCGCACTCACACCTATGGCTGCGGGTAGAGTATGTGGTAACCCTGAAGTGCGGCGCACACAGCCTCTGCAAAGGGAACTGCAGGCTGGGTCTGTCATGTCTGTATAACCAGGCATTGATTTTTCTGTCGAGACCTGGCACTTCAGCCATTTATTCTCTGCTTTGCGGTTGGGCCCAACGGGTTTGAAAAATTCTGTTACAGTCCAGTCACCCCTGAGGCAAAAGTGAGAATAGATTTCACCTGTACAGGCCTACACCACTTATCCAGGGCATGGGCTGTCAGAGCAAAAGCTAAATGAAATGCTATCCATACTCAAGCACTCAGACAGGCTCTGCTGTCCGCCAAGAGGATGGCTGGGCTGCTGAAAACAGCTACTCCAGAGAGCTCCCAGAAGCCCTGAATCACTGTGCTCCTTGGAGATAAAAGGGAGACAGACCCCAGATGGCTCCTGATTGAAGGGTCTCTGTGTGTTGTTGACATGGGTACACACAAAAGTTTTCTGTGATAAAAATAAGTCCGCTGCCATCGCACCCTGAACATGCCTAAGCTCGTGCAATCTCCAAGGCGATGCAGGGTCAGGCATACAGAGAACGTGGATGCAAGACGGAACTTAAACACTGAGACTGAGAAAGATAGGAAACCCGATCATGTCCTGGATGAACATACTAAGTCAGTATCTCTTCAAGAAAATATTTCCAATTTCTCTGTCATTGTTAAATCCCCCAGTCCCCTAGGCCGTGAGCACGCTCATGACACTCTGCACCCTACCTTTGTGGTTATAGTCATCCATAAAATTTACTTCCTGTTTCTAAAACCATCAAGCTTTAAGCAATCTCTGTGAACAATAGTGTTCAAAAAATTAACTCAAGATAATGAACAAACAAGAGAACAATAAATAAGGATGAAGTTATACAATTTTAGAAAGCTGTAAGCATTATACCAGAAAATTGAGGCTAAGGCAGCCTAAAGAAAAACAGAAGAATCAAAGAACTGAGGTTTACACTGTTAGAATGGGGTTATGGAAGATGTATACTGTCATGTAAAGTCATTTCTAGGATTTTCTTCAAATCTTACAGTTTGGTTTTTTTTTTTTTGGACAGAAAATGAACCCTGAGCGATTAAGACTTAACCTTCTAATTTGGTGTTAAATGAAGATTATGTTAACAAATTAACTGAGTTTTATAAACTCTGGGAATACAGTTATAAATCAGTTTTTATAAAATTCTTTATTTTACTATATATACTTACAAAGTAATATAGTGAATGTACCAAGTATGCAAGTGATAGCATAGCATATCTGCAGCACTTGGTTAATAGCGAACAGCTAGTTTGTTTGTCTGTAATGCATGTGAGGTGAAGCTATCTTCAGCATGGACACAGGCTGGTGCAGAAATCACTGTATCATGTAGCCATTGCTGCCTCATACTAGAGAGTGACATATATAACTAAATACCTTGAAATGCACTGCAAAGAATATCATGTCCGTATATCTCTTTGACGGGTTTTCATGCATTTAGCATTTCAAAACCATGACAGGGATCTTATTTCCAAGATAAATTCCCCTATCTACTTATTTCTCCATGTATTTACTGTGGAACTAACCTTCTCCTACAAGAAATAAATAAGGAGGTTAAGTAGATGCTATCTTTAACAAATAGCTTCTCCAGACTGTATTACAACTTTATGAATGACAAAATAAATCCCTCAGTTTTAAATCTACCATGATGTGCATTTAACAAAATTACATCTACACAACCTCGATGTATGCTGTCTATTATTCATACATAATAAAAATGTTAGCCTAAAGCTCAGTGCCTGTCCAGAAAGGACAAAAGCCAGATTATAAAAAAGAAGTAAAGCTACCACTGGACTTTCTGTAAACTACATTCCACAATCTTCTTTATGAAAACAAGTATTTTCAGTCACTGGGAAAACTCTGAGAGTGTACAACCATCACAGGCTAGTATATAGATGAGACCCATTTGCAAGCAGGCAATCTCCCAAAATGATATAAAGTCTGTCTCAATTATTCCAAGATCACATGTTATAAGTCAATCTAATGGCAGTGAGGACTGAGGCCTCACCAAGGGCCCAAACTCTTCACAGACCTTCTGGGGGCCCTCATGAAATACATCCAAGAAAGACGTGGGAGTAGAACCTGCTATGAAGGACAACAGGGTGCATTCTGGGAGCCTCCAAGAAAGACCTGACTATCTGCTATTCTATGAACAATGCTTTGGAGTGTATAGAGAAATCAGAAAAAGAGGAAGACTTGAGTGTCAAGGAAATCTGCTATTTAGGGAGAAAAACTGTTAGTAAAAGTAAACTTAATGCCTGAAAAAATTTAAGATATCATTTCAGATTAAACAAAAAGCACACAAGGGACAAGGCAGATTGGAGGCTCCCCAGAGGTGATAGCATTTTACTGAGACACTGGAAGACAGTTGACTACTGGAAACAGAGAGACATGAGGGAGAATGTCAGTAACAGGAAGTACAGGAGAAAACTCCTAAACTGGAAAAGGGTGTGGCAAAACTCTGAAGGTACACATACAACACACACACACACACACACACACACACACACACACACACAAACACAGAGCCCACTTTCTTCCAAATCCCACCACAGAAACCAGGGACTAATCAAAGGCCACTGAGTTACAGTAAGCAAGATTAAGGTCATGAATGTTCCCCTATGTACTCATACAGGAAATGTATTTTGCTTAGTGCAATTTAAAAAAACAAAACAAAACAAAACAAAACAACAACAACAAAAAGACTAGCTTTCAAAAATTCGCCATGAAGATGGGCAGCCAGCAGACAGACAGATGTGTACAGCGAGTGACTAACTGGTCATCACAAAGGGGTTCCAGCAGGGAAGGAAGCACTAAACAAGCACAGGAGACAGAGGATTGCATCGGCATAAGACAATGCAGGAGCATCGTGGACATTTTGAGAGCAGTCATTTCAAACAGACTGCAATACCTTTAGCAATTCCCGTGAAGACACAGTTTTCACTCTGAAGTTCTTAGACTGAGAAGCCCATGATGCTAAAACTCACTGAAGTAAGCCCTTACCCAAGTGGGTAACAGTGAACTGAAAGCCCACTAGGAGCTCATCTGCACAAACTTGAACAGGGGTTCCTAAGTGTGTTCTAATGTTCTAGGCACAGCTGGAGACATGCTGATCCTCCCACTGTGTGTGCTGTTCCCTTAGCTCCCCAGCTGAGGCAGAGGAAAGGCTCTGGTCCTGCCCAGTACAGCAACAGACCAAGCAGAGGGAGGGGGTTGGCATGTGCCCAAAGACTGCTTGCAGCTGGTTCTTCTCCTGTGATTTGTGTTAACTGAACCAAGAGGAACTTCCACACTTCAACACTTAAACTGAAGAGAAAAAGCTTACATTATCAGCTACATAACAAAAATTAAAATTCCTCATTGAAATGCTACTAAGCATCTTTTACAAAGTTAAAGAAATAACAGCAAGCTAAAATGTATTCGAAAGCTAACCTTTGCATATGTTTTGACCTTAAAAATTTTTTCAACATTTGCTTGGGTTTGAATGGCTAAACGGGAGAAATGTATCAAAAAATCACACTTGAACTTTGAATTACTTCTATAATTTCCCAAATTACAAGAGTCACAATTCTTAATGGAAATTGTATATTCATCTTGTTCAGATTATAACTTTAAATGCTATTACAGTTATATCCAAGCTAATAGATTTTTACTTATTATAAAAATAATAAAAATGTATACAAATCTCATTTCTGAATGAAGATAACTTTATTACTTGACATTATGAAACAGAAAAGGGGGACCACTGTTATTAGTTTTGGTGATTTTGAATGTGTTCCCTTCACGACAATCTAGCAATGCTGAAGCAGTGCTTAGTCTGACGCTGAGCTTTGCTAAAACTGACTGTATACCAGAGAGTGCAGTCAAGCATAGGCCATTGAGACATACCTGTACACACAAGGTCATATAAAATGAATTCTGTTACTGAGGTTTCAATAGCCTCAAGGGGAGGTTAGGTTCAGTCATAAAGAGGACTATCATTATGCCATGAAATGAGTAAGATCTGGCTATACTTATCAACATAGTTTAAAAATCTCAATAGTATACCTACATTAAAAACAAGTTAGAGAGGCTGGAAGGATGGCTCAGTGATGAAGAATACTTGTTCAGAGGACCTGGGTTCAATTTCCAGTACCCACATGGTAGCTCACAATAACTGCAACTCCAGATTGGATGACTTTGTCTATTGTCTGCAACCATGAGGCTTACAGATGGTTTACATACACATTTCAGTAAAAACCAAATAACTTTAAAAGGTTGCATCAACTGCACAGAATTGTACAGGTGAAGCGCCCATGCAGAAGCATGTATGGCACTCTAGTTTGGCACTGCTTTAGTCTGCATTAAGAAAAGCAGGCGGTGATGCTCCAGTGTACTACTACATCAAACTTTTGTTTTCCAAAAGAAAGAATCGGAGGTAAATAGACTTCAATTAGCATCTTCCAAAGTATGTGCTGCACTTTCAAATTTTTCAGAATTTAAATTGAACATTTAATAAAACAATCAAATAATTTTTATGTCCTCTATATAACACCTGGGAACAATCCAGTCACATTTCCAAATCACACAAACTCACATTTACCAAAGAGAGAAAGGGACCCTTAGATGAGTTGCATATGAATTTAAAGAGGACTAAACTAAATTTCCCAATGTAATAAAAAGCTATATAGTTGCCATCCTTCAAAACTGTGATATTGAAGTGTTAATCCCCCCCGAAATCATTCCAAAATTAAAAATACTAAAATTCAATTACTAAGCAATACTTTTCCTTGTGAATAAAGAAAATGCAGACCTATAAAACAACAAAAGGCTTATCGGGCTCCTAGAAAAATACTTTAATGAGCAAATAAATAGAGTTATTCAAACACTACCAAAGCACGCCCAGT